TCTCATTGTTGAATGTTCTAGGTCAGGATAGCGGCTAGATTTTCTTAGGGTTCACTTCACCGGGGCTAGCCCAACATATTTTAAAGTCTAAAGCGAGTTTTGAAGTTGAGTATTTTTAAATATGAGAGAGTGATAAAAAAATCAACAATCATCCATAAAAAAAGAAATTTTAACAAAAAAATACAATATAATGATTAAACCCCGGTCCTTATAATATTAGACTTAGAAATGATCAATAAATCAAAGTTAATATTAATACAACCAATTTATTAAATTTTATAAATAAAAATATATATATTTTAAAGATCTAAAACTAGAGCTTGACCAACCTTATATTTAGGTCAGCCCTACATTTCACCAAAGATTCTTTAGCTACTATCTACTTAATAAAACAATAATTAAGGTGTGAAAAGTTAAACCATAAAAGAGATGTGCCTGGGATACCTTGGCCATATATTTGTGGGGTTCCATTTAATTTACTCTGTTAACTATTACTTATTACTTTGTTAGCACTAGGCAAGCATCTTTTGGGTCGGTAGCTACCAACGAAGAAAGACGTGGGAAGAAATTCTCGCATATTCCATTGACGTACTGATTTTTATATTGTCATAATAAATTATTTATAAATATTTGATGTATGAGAGTTTGATTTGATATATATATATATATATAGTTTGAAGGCTCTCCTATTAGTGGGGGGTGTTTACCACTCATATTACAAGTCCTGTGCGACCCAAATCATAAAAATTATAAATACTTGATGTCTTTGTACAAATGATCCTATTGTTTTCTTTTGATGCACTTTGGTTGTTTCTATGTGTAGGTATTGCTGGCTGGATTTAACATGTGAGGAAAAGAGACAAACAAGGTTTGTACGATGTGGTTATGGAATTTTCCACCAAAGATTTTGTTGGGATTCATCCCAAGTCCCACATCGGTAAAATGAAGGAACATTTGCTAGTTTATAAGTGTCCACCATTCCACATAGTATGAGGCCTTTTGGGAAGGAGCCCAAAAACAAAACCGTGCGGGCTTGGGCCCAAAGCGGACAATATCATACTATGGTGGTGGAAAAGGTGGACTAGCGGGCCCTACAAGTGGTATCAAAGCCTGGTTCGTCTGGGTTTGATGCGGGAAGACCCTCAGTGTTGTGCCTCGCGATGGAGATTCGAACTTGGTGCCTTGTGTCGAAAGTCTTCCTGATATTGTGGTGTTCAGGCGGCGTGTCCCGTAGAGTTAACGGCGGTACAAGATGGTGACAGATTATCGCTTGAGGGGAGGAGATCACGAGACATGTGGTCCTTGGTCTGAGGGGAGGTTTGTTGGGATTCATCCCAAGTCCCACATCGGTAAAATGAAGGAACATTGGCTAGTTTATAAGTGTCCACCATTCCACATAGTATGAGGCCTTTTGGGAAGGAGCCCAAAAACAAAACCGTGCGGGCTTGGGCCCAAAGCGGACAATATCATACTATGGTGGAGGAACGGGTGGACTAGCGGGCCCTACAAGTGGTATCAGAGCCAACGGTTCGTCTGGGTTTGATGCGGGAAGACCCTCAGTGTTGTGCCTCGCGATGGAGATTCGAACTTGGTGCCTTGTGTCGAAAGTCTTCCTGATATTGTGGTGTTCAGGCGGCGTGTCCCGTAGAGTTAACGGCGGTACAAGATGGTGACGGATTATCGCTTGAGGGGAGGAGATCACGAGACATGTGGTCCTTGGTCTGAGGGGAGGTTTGTTGGGATTCATCCCAAGTCCCACATCGGTAAAATGAAGGAACATTGGCTAGTTTATAAGTGTCCACCATTCCACATAGTATGAGGCCTTTTGGGAAGGAGCCCAAAAACAAAACCGTGCGGGCTTGGGCCCAAAGCGGACAATATCATACTATGGTGGTGGAAAAGGTGGACTAGCGGGCCCTACAGATTTTGCTCTCAGTTTCCACCCGAATAAGTTTAGAAGAACTTGTTCTGTTACGTAACTAAAACCTAGCCCGTGAACCTCAACGTCACTTACAGCACTCACATCAAGCAAGATGTAACAGATTTTGATCAGGGGTGCCATTTCTGCTTTTGGACTCTAGCCACTAATTCAGTGTCAACGTTAAACACAAATTCTTATGCGCTGGCACTCATGGACTAATACATTCACACAATCAATGAATTCAATTTCAAATATTATAAAATATAAAACTACATCATATCTCACTCATAAAGTATGATTGATTAGGTGGTCAAGAGTTTTCCACATAAAGTGACAAAGAGCAATATAACTTATTCCACATCTTTGAATACAAGTTACAAATATTTTTAGCGTTTCTCTTATGAAAATAAAAAATTATTTTTGATAAAAAATTTTAAAAATTCTTTTAAAACTATATTAAACAGAGCTACTATGCAAAATGATAATTATAATGGCTTTTTTTAAAAAGTATATATACCTTGAGTGTGATCAAGCTGCATAACAGCTGGCTGCAAAAGTTTTCTTTTTTGTTTTTAAATTAGTATTTCCTAACTAAAGGTCAAAAGCTAATATTTTTAAGAATTAAGATCCATTTAAAGAGTTGATTTCTTCTGACAAATATTTTTCACAAATGAGCTTTCATAATTTGGCTGTGAAACACACTACTCCAAACAAATATATTAAGAAAAATTCAAATTTTATATTTATTAGAAATGATATAAGTAAAAGGGGTACTACAACTGCCTTAGAGGAATGGTAGGGTTTTAGTGATTATGAAAGTGATACAAGAAGTACTATAAACTCATTTACAATAGAGCAAAACAGATAGCTATCATATAATATGTCCCCTATTTCTCTACATTGCTCGCACTATAATTTACATCCCATTGTTTTTGTCATGACATAACATATTTGTGCGATTCATGGAGTCTCACAAAACTTGCCTATGCAAGAATTGTGCAATTCATCTCTAGGTCGCGATCGATTCTTGCGATTTAGATTCGATTCATAATGTGATTCAAACAACAAAATGATTCGCACCAATTCGTATCGCCAATTGCTCGATTCACATGGAATTATACGTATTGTAAATCGTACAATACTTACAACATGGAATAATATATAACTTATTAAAGTGATAGCGTTTACAAGTGATAATTTGTCGATTGTCGAACAACTGCAAAATCTTCATCATCACTAAACAACCGAAATACTTGGTCAATTGATGCCTGCAAACGTCTCTAACCCATTAAATTAGAGCTAAACAAGTTTTAATTAACGTCCTCTAAATTTAATGTTAACAATCTAGAAAAAAAAAACTGCTAAAATAAATATTAATGATTTGTTAATTTTTTTTGTCATATTTTTAACATCGGTCTTAAGATAATAATGTTAACAAAACCATAATAATGATATTGACCATATACACAACTTGAGATTTACACATTCAAATAATTAATTACCCTATCATTACAATCTACTTGTTAATAAGGTAAATATAAATAAAGGGTGTTGGAATGTGATTTTTTTTTTATTTCGTTATTTAAAATTGCAAGGATAATGTAAAATAAATAAGGTATAAATATATTATTAGTCAAGCAAGTTATCATATATAATTCAAGCACACTTCTGTAGGTCTCACGCATTGTTTTAAATTGCAGTCATAATATTATTGTTGCAGTGTTGCGATCCGCAATTACAGTGTAATTTTAAATTATTTTAAATTCTATAATTTATCTGTAATATAACTGTAACACAATCATAATAGATATGCAACATCATTTTATTTTATTTTTTGTGTGAGAATACATATATAGATTCAAATTTTAATATTCAATTTTAATAAATTTGGTCACATGAGATATTAAGGGGAAAAAAAAGACAATTAATAAGAGTGGGTTGGAATATAGGGATGTGCATGATATATTTTAAAAAAGGGAGAAAGAAATTTTGAGTTCAAAAGTTAAAAAAAGAAAGAAAGAGATATAATTATTTATTTATATTCACACAAATATATAATAATTTTATAACGCAAGAATGATCGCAATCCACATTACAGTAGATAACGCAATCACAACTGCTGCAATTTAGAACCATGGTCTCACGTTTTACTGAGAAAGAAAGGGGAAGTTTAGATGCTAGTTATATAGCTGCTGAGACAGCAAATATATATAGAGAAATTTTATGGTACCCATCTTATTTGAGAGGGTACCGGTACAGTTTTTTATATTTTATATTTTTAGTAATTTATTTAAATAATATTTATAATATTTTATCCTTTCAATTTTTAAATTATTTAATCATTTTATTTTTATTTTATATATTCTAATTTATTTGTAATAATATTATTATATATTTAAATAGTTTAATTTTAATAATTTTTTAAGTATATTTTTATCTTTTCACTTAAAATTTTTGAATTTTTATATTTTAATTTTAATAATTTTTTAAGTATATTTTTTGTCTTTTTGTCTTAAATTTTTGAATTTTTATATTGTAATTTTAATAACTTTTTATTTCTACTATTTATTAATTTTTTCTTTTTCTTTAATATTTTATAATATTATTGAAAACTTATAATTTTAATCTTTATAATTTTATCTTACTTTTTATTTTATAAGTATAATTTAGATTATTTATTTTATAAATAAATTAATTTTTTTAAAAAAATTTTATGAATTTACATAGAAAAATGTATTGAAACCCTTCCATCTTTGAGGGTACCGTAGCAACTCCCGTATAAGTAGTTGCAGTTGTATTCGTATTTTATTGCTTTCATTTCTCCTGAATTTTCTGATTCTATCGTTTGCAACTCATATATATATAACGAAAATATATATCCTATAAAACTTTATTTTTTGTGTGCAAATGTTATTCTATTTCAATTTTTGTGAGAGGGTTGGTCTTACGTGTACAGGAGAGTCGCACATGTGCAGGAGACCAATCTCCATGCAAGGACAATGACATATATAATAAAAAATGATGAAGATACACATATAAAATTTAAAGTTGGATTGGTTGAATCTCCAACTAGTTCGTATACGGCGGTGTTCGATTGCGGCACCGTTCGCAGCGGCGGAGACGTGCGTTCGCAGCGGCGGAGATGCGCGTTCGTTGAGGCGGAGATGCGAGTTCGTTGAGGCGGAGCTGCGCGTTCGTTGAGGCGGAGATGGGTGTTCCAATGGTGCGGAGGGAGACTCAAAAACGTGAGAATGGTGGAGGAAGCTCGCGCGCAGGGAAACTGGTGTTCTTACTAACTAACCCTAGGCAAAAACGACGTCGTTTTGGGCCACTTTCCCCAGCCAGACCATTCATTAGATTTTGTTTTCGTCTGATCAGTTCTGTTTGCAACCCAGGAACCAGACCCAGAATTATCTCTGTGGTTAACATCGTCCTTCTTCCTACCCAAGCTCCAAGAATCTTCTTGCACATTTTCAGATCTACCAGCTGGCATTTCAGACTTGTTCTTTCCCCAGCTAGACCATTCATTAGATCTTGTATTCGTCTGATGTGTTCTCTTTGCACCCCAAGCACCAGACCCGGAATTATCTTCTTGGGTAACATCAGCATTCCTCTTACCATTGCTCCAAGAATCTGGCACATTTTCAGATACACTAGCTGGTATTTCAGATTTATTCCCTCCCCAGCCAGACCATTCATTAGATTTGGCTTTTTTCTGATCTGTTGTTGTGTTTGTATCCCAAGCATTAGACCTAGTTGAAGAGTCTTCTTGGAGAACATCAGTTTTCCTTCCCCAGGCAGACCATTCATTACTTTTTGTTTTTGTCTGATCTGTTGTTGTGTTTGTATCCCAAGCATTAAACCTAGAAGAGTCTTCTTTGATGACACCAGTTTTACTCCCCCAGGCAGACCTTTCATTAGATTCTGATTTTGTCTGATCTGTTGTTTTATTTGCATCCCAAGCAAACCTAGAAGAGTCTTCTTGAACGACATCAGTTTTCTTCCAAGAATCCTCTTGGGCTCTTTCAGATTGGCCATCTTTTATTTCAGTTGTTTTACTTACCCAACCTGACCACTCATTGGTCTTTGATTCAGTTTGATTTGTATTTGTCTCCCAACCATTGGATGTTGAAACATTCAATAGTTCAAGATTCTCTTCAAAAACAGCTTCATTACCAGAGGTACGCTGTGGGGACATGTCCCAGTCCATATTTTCTTCATCCCATAAATCATCAACATCGTCACCCAAACCAGCATTGGTTTCTTCTTCCCCATTGGAAATGCTTTTCACCATGTGAAGAAAATTATAGACATCGGTCCCTTCAATTTCTTCAGATTTTATCTGCAGAAAAAAAATATCAATATTCAAATAATGTTTACCCAAAACACCAATCCTTATCAAGTCCAATAATCAGAGTATAATCAAACACCTCATTTGCATCCCATACAACGTCAAATTTTGATCCTGTGCCAACTGCCACATGTTTACCCCAGGAACAAGAAGCAACTATGCTTGACAGAGAGTCAGTATGGCATTTCTCCGCAGCTCGCTCAAAACATTTTTTAGGGGTCTGCATAGTCACAGATAAAGAGTAAGAATAATAGTAACTTAATACATCTCATGATTACAACAATTAACAGGGCAGCAACTTACAAAGAGAGTTGCATCTGTGAATGGTACTTGAATATTTAATTGGCGAGACAGAGCTTTATATCCACCTGTATTAAAGCCAACCAAATTCCCACCACAAGTCATACTGCTAGCTAACAGAATGAGATGCTCTCTAAGAACACCTTTTGCGACCATTTTCACAGATGATGCTAGACGCTGCAGGCAGTCACAAAAGGATGAGATAGGAATAAAAGGTGGAGCTCTGAGTTGGGGATACTTAAGATTGGATCATCAAGACTCTTTCATCAAGACATACTAATTGATATTATGATTCACACATTTCCTATTAAGAGAAAATCAAAGCATTCCAAAGTCCTAATGGGAGGATAACAAAACTTATAAACCAAAGATTATGTACAAACCTTAGAAGAGACATGTTAACAATAACAATATTCCTGAAGCAGCCATAAAAGAACAACACAGAGAAGACAAACTTGAAACTACTCCAAATCAAACTTAGGGTCAAGTGTACAAGAAACCTCCACGAAGTTATGAACATCACACTTCAATACACATAAGAAAAAGTTTAAACTAGTCATGTCTGTCTAATATATATATATATATATATATTTATTTATTTATTTATGTAGAGTAGACTCTGTGATTTCAATTAGCACTTAAGACTTGTTTGTACCTAATTAAGCTAGATGTTTCTGAAAGTCTCTTTCACCCGCATGAACACATGCATTATGATATTGTCTCTTCTGCTTCTCAACCTTCTTTGCGCTTGCTCTTCATACACTATGATACTTTGTGTCACAGTTAATTGGCATAATGTAATGAGAATAAATGTGTTATAGAAAAAAAGAAAAAAAAAACTGTTTTATTTAATGTATAGGAGAAAGTAAACAGACAAATGAATAAATTAAATGAATATTATTTCTGTACTCTTATCCCTATTTCCCTGTGGCTAGATTTTACACGCCTTTGTGTCAAGTCTTGGGTAATTAATATTCTTTTTGCCTATGAAAATTAATAAAAGGAATAGAAGGGAGAAAAAGGTGGTCACGACAAAGTTCCAATTTATACACTATTTATTTTGTACCGGAAGGTCCTTATCGGTCACGTTGACCAACACGTGCCGTTCTGTCAGACACCTACGCCATGATGTCGGAAACATCGGTCCAGCCAACGTCCGGGACGAATGTTACTAACGGCTCGGCATAAGACCGAGCCGGAGAGTCCCCCGTAGGACAGGATAGCTAGACAACTGTTGATCAACCCGATTAATAATAGCGCCCCATCCTTTACCTATCGGATCGGCGAAATACCGTACCGATAGGTGAAGAGCGGTTATTAATTATGATTAGCAGGTAAGCGCATGGTTAAGTTAGTAAGTAAGTAATTAACATCGTATTACCTAATTTAGTAAACACCTGAAAAAGCCCACAATGCTCAGGCCCACGTCAGGCACTATAAATAGGTCACACATAACGAGGTATGTCACTGTTCATTTTTTACCCTAGATATTCGTGCATATACTGACTTGAGCGTTGGAGTACCCTTTGCAGGTACCTCCCCCATCCCTTGGAGATATCGTTGGAGCTCTTATTCGGTCCCCTTTCACCCAGAAGAAAAGGAGTGTGCCCTTAGACAGGTACATTTTGGCGCCCACCGTGGGGCCGAACCGAGAGCTATTCCGAGATTATTATTGAAAGAATGGTGAAGACGAGAAAGAATAACGTTGAAGAACACCAGTCCGAGGACGAGCATCAGTCAGGAGCCGAGACGACGGAAGAGACAAACTTGAACAGTATGATGCGACAGATGAAAGAGGAGATGGCCGCTATGAAGCAACAGCGGGAGAGAGATGCGGCCGAAATGGCTGCGCTACGGGCGGAAAATGCCACCCTCAAAAACCAATACCACGATCCTACATGGAAGCCCTCCGAGACAACCCACACTCAAGGGTCGTTCCATTCGCATGGCCAGCACACCTCGGTCCCTTATACTTCTGTTGCCCCTGCCGCCCACGCCTCGGCCAGTCGACCGATACAGCCCATGCCGGCAGGATCACACCGACATCCCTTTACACCCAATATCATGCAGTCCGTCCTCCTTGACAATTGGAAGTCCTTGTCTCTCGACAAGTACGACGGAACCACCGATCCAGATGAACATGTTGACGTGTTCTTGACTCAGGTCACATTAAGCACCACCGATGACGCCGCCCTGTGCCGAATTTTCCCGACGTCGCTAAAAGGACGAGCGTTGAGCTGGTTCACTCGGCTCCCGGCCAATTCGATCGACTCATTCGGCACCTTAGCCTCTCAGTTTACCATCCAGTTCGCTACAAGCCGACCACACCAGTTAACTTCTCTATCACTAGTCACCATCCGCCAGGAGAAAAAGGAGTCTCTCCGGGCGTTCATGAGCCGATTCAACAAGGCGGCATTAGAGATCAGGGACCTCAACCCAGCCGTCGCCTTACACCATCTAACCACCGCGTTGAAGCCGGGTCCCTTTGCCAACAGTATTTGTAAAAAGCCACCGGCAAACATGGATGACCTTCGGCGCAGGGCCGATAAGTATATGCAGATGGAAGAACTAGCCGAGTTTCGCAACCAGGCCAGAGCAGAAGTGGTGAGCAAGACAGAAAAGCCAATAGAAAACAATTTTCGCGGTCGTCCAAAAGAACTCGTACCCCGCGAGCGGCCACCCCGTGGTCCGAAGTATACACAGTACACACCACTGAACACCAGCCGGTCAGCAGTACTAGAACAAGCATTGGCTTCAGAAGTGCTGACTATCCCGAAGAGAGCATCGACCCCTCCCCGAGCCGACACAACCAAATCCTGCAGATTTCACCGCAATCGTGGGCATTCAACTGACGAATGTTCAGCCTTGAAAGACAAAATTGAAGATTTGATCAAGCAAGGACAGTTGCAAGGTTTTGTGAACCGTCCCGACCGGCCCCGACACGGCGAACAATCACAGAGACGTGACCATTCCGAACACCGCAGAGCAGAAACGCGCTCGTATAGAGAGCGCAGTCGGTCACGGGATAGGCATGAAGAACAGCAAGCAACACAGCCACGGCGAGTTATTAACACCATTGCTGGCGGATTTGCTGGCGGGGGCTCATCTTCGTCGGCACAACGAAGACACCTGCGAGCTGTCCGACACGTGCATGCCGTGGAAACAAACCGTTGCCGTTTGCCAACCATTACCTTCACCGAGGCCGACTTCAAGGGAATCGACCCAGATCAGGACGATCCGATGGTGATCAGCGTTGAAATTCACAATTGCATCGTCCGTAAGACATTGGTTGATCAAGGAAGTTCAGCGGACATACTATATTGGAATACGTTCAAGCAGTTGGGAATTCCAGAGTCCGAACTGGTCCCTTACGATGAACCTTTGGTGGGATTCTCTGGTGAACGAGTCAAAACAAAAGGATATATCAAGTTATCAACACGATTTGGGTTCGAAGGGGCGGAATACCGAGACATCTCGGTTAAATACGTGGTCGTTCATGCGAGCACCTCCTATAACATTCTGCTCGGTCGGCCATCCCTGAATCGGCTCGGAGCAATTGTGTCTACTCCTCATTTAGCTATGAAGTTTCCGGCACAGTCAGGACGGGTTATCACGGTACACGCCGATCAAAAAACCGCACGCGAATGCTACTTTGCCAGCTTGCGGCTACCGAAAGTGCAAGACGAAACGATCAAAGAGCCACAGAAAGTCCACTCGGTAACCCAACAGTCCTCCATAGACCTCGACCCCCGAATCGGGCACGACGAAAGGGTCGAGCCTATTGAAGAAAGGCAACCACTCCAAGTTGGAACCCTTGATACCCAACTGACTTATTTGGGAACTGTTCTGACGGAACAAGAGAAAGCAGCCATCGGACAGGTAATACTTGATAACCGAGATCTATTTGCATGGCACCCCTCCGATATGCCGGGTATCGATCCAGAGTTTTTGTGCCATAAGCTCTCAATTAGTAGGGAGGCAAGGCCGATCGCCCAGCGGCGTCGGAAGACCGGAGAGGAGAAGAAGGCGGCAATCGATGCTGAGGTAGCCAAATTATTAGAAGCACAGTTTATACGGGAGATCCACTACACGACGTGGTTGGCTAATGTGGTCATGGTCCGAAAGCCGAACGGGAAATGGCGTATGTGTACCGATTACACGAACTTGAATAAAGCTTGCCCGAAAGACGCCTACCCGTTGCCCAATATTGATCGTCTCGTAGATGGGGCGTCTGGCCACCGTTTCCTATCCTTCTTAGACGCGTATTCGGGGTATAACCAAATTCGCATGCACCCTCACGATGAAGACAAAACAGCATTCATCACCGAGACAGCCAACTATTGCTACCGTGTAATGCCGTTCGGTCTGAAGAACGCCGGTGCCACATACCAGCGCCTGATGAATAAAATTTTCCATAGTCAGATTGGTCAGTGCCTCGAAGTTTATGTTGATGACATGGTCGTCAAATCTGATGAAGTTTCTGCCCATGTACGCCACCTGGCCGAGGTATTCCAAGCACTCAGACAACACCAAATGAGGCTGAACCCCGAAAAATGTGTGTTCGGCGTATCGGGTGGAAAATTTTTGGGATTCATGTTGTCCAGCCGGGGCATCGAGGCAAACCCAGACAAGTGCCAAGCCATACTGGAGATGAAGAGTCCCACCACTCTCAAAGATGTACAAAAGTTGGCAGGGCGGCTGACTTCGCTTTCACGGTTTCTTCCCCGGCTTGCCGAGATATCTCAACCTATCCTCGCCCTGCTGAAGAAAGCAAAGCAGTTTACATGGACTCATGAATGTGAAGAAGCGTTCCAACAGTTTAAGCATCGTCTTAGTTCACCTCCCATACTGTCCAAACCTACTGCCGGCTCCGACATGGTCATTTACCTTGCCGTGTCAGGGCATTCGGTCAGCGCTGTCTTAATACAGGAACAGAGGGATCAAAGGCCGATATACTTCACCAGTCGAACACTGCAAGAAGCCGAGAAGCGTTACCAGTTAATCGAAAAGGTAGCTCTAGCGCTCGTCTACACGGCTCGCAGGCTCAGGCAATACTTCCAGAGTCATAGGGTGGTTGTCCGAACCGACTGCCCGATTGCGAAAGTTCTTCGTAAACCGGAAATCGCTGGCAGGATGATGGCCTGGTCGGTCGAACTCTCAGAGTTTGACATATCGTTCGAGCCGAGAGGACCCATCAAATCACAGCATTTGGCCGACTTCGTCAATGAGCTTACCCCAGCAGGTAGTTTTCACGACGAGCCGTGGACAATGCATGTCGACGGCTCATCCAGTGCGCAGGGAAGCGGAGCGGGAATAATTCTAGCCAGCCCTTCGGGCATCACGGTCGAACAGTCACTCCGGTTCGGTTTTCGGGCATCTAATAACCAAGCCGAGTACGAAGCACTGCTGGCCGGTATGAGACTAGCAGCTGAGATGGGTGTGACAAAGGTCGTATGCTGTACCGATTCAAAGATCGTGGCCGAACAGGTCAACGACAATTTTCAAATTAAGGATGCTAATTTGTTGCAGTATTACCACCTCTTCCAGAAGCTCAAAGAGGAGTTCACTGACGTACAAATCCGACACGTTCCCAGGAGCACCAACGAACGAGCCGATCAGTTGGCTCGGCTTGCTAGTAGTCGAAAACCAGGACAGCTGAGAACAACCATTCACCTAGAAATCCCTGCCCCAAGTGTGGCGATCGAGTGCATGGCGGCCGATATTGACACACCGAACTGGATGACTCCTATTCGGAACTACATCCTCCAACAAGAGTTGCCCACCGATCCGAAGGAGGCAAAAAAGCTTCGCACTCAGGCCGCTCGGTACTCCATAGTGGCTAACGACCTCTACAGGCGAGGATTCTCCACTCCGTTGCTCAAGTGCATTGATAACTCGCAGGCGGATTATGTGATGCGGGAAGTTCATGAAGGTATCTGTGGGTCCCATTCCGGAGGCCGTACCCTAGCTGCAAAAGTGTCACGAGCTGGTTATTATTGGCCAACTCTGAAAGGGGATTGCGCTGAGTTCGTCAAACGTTGCATACAATGTCAGCGACATGGAAACCTCATCCATGCCTCCGCCGCCGAGCTGCACAGCATCAGCTCTCCATGGCCGTTTGCCTTATGGGGCATTGACGTACTTGGCCCGTTCCCCGTGGCAAAGGGACAGGTTAAGTTCCTCCTCGTGGCAGTAGATTACTTCACAAAGTGGATTGAGGCCGAGCCGCTCGCCTGCATCTCCGCTGCTAACGTCCAAAAGTTTGTATGGAAGAACATCATCACCCGTTTTGGCATCCCATATGCCATCATCTCCGATAACGGCTTACAATTTACAGACAAAAAGTTCAACTCATTCCTCGAAAACCTTGGCATTCGGCACAGATTTACATCGGTGGAGCACCCTCAGTCAAACGGCCAAGCCGAAGCAGCCAACAAGGTTATCCTGACTGAATTAAAAAGAAGACTCGGCTCGGCAAAAGGAGTGTGGGCCGATGAATTGCCAGAGGTTCTCTGGGCGTACCGGTGTACACCACAATCCACTAATAGAGAAACACCCTTCCGCCTCACATACGGCACTGATGCGATGATCCCGGTTGAGGTTGGAGAACCATCTTTCCGGCGACAAAGCTTTCAGGAGGAATCTAACGACGACGCACTCCGAGCCGAACTCGATGTCCTCGAGGAAGTGCGGGACAAGGCACAGGTGGTGGCCGAGGCATGCAAACAGCGAATGACTCGGCGCTTTAATTCCAATCTAAAGCCAAGAACTTTTCACGAGGGCGACCTTGTGTGGCGTGCAACGGGGGCAGCCAGGCGTAACTCTTCTGAAGGAAAGCTCTCTGCCAATTGGGATGGACCATTCCGGATACGACATGCACTCCACAATGGGGCCTACAAGCTAGAAGAGCTGTCCGGCAAGGTTATTCCAAGAACCTGGAATTCTACCCACCTAAAGACATACTACAGTTAAATTCGAATTTGTAATACTTGAACTATGTAATTGTATCGCGGTGCACTCTTTTCCTTGACTGATCTTTTTCCCTCTTGTAAAAATGTGAAAAGAGGTTTTTGATTAGCAAGGTTTTTAACGAGGCACCTTCTTATCAATGAAAATACATCTCCCACTTAATTATCTCCACTTATTTCTTCAAGTCTTCCCTCCCGAGAAGTCTCTCGGCCAAGGATGTGGCTTAAATTTAATTACAAGTCTTCCCTCCCGAGAAGTCTCTCGGCCAAGGATGTGGCTTAAATTTAATTACAAGTCTTCCCTCCCGAGAAGTCTCTCGGCCAAGGATGTGGCTTAAATTTAATTACAAGTCTTCCCTCCCGAGAAGTCTCTCGGCCAAGGATGTGGCTTAAATTTAATTACAAGTCTTCCCTCCCGAGAAGTCTCTCGGCCAAGGATGTGGCTTAAATTTAATTACAAGTCTTCCCTCCCGAGAAGTCTCTCGGCCAAGGATGTGGCTTAAATTTAATTACAAGTCTTCCCTCCCGAGAAGTCTCTCGGCCAAGGATGTGGCTTAAATTTAATTACAAGTCTTCCCTCCCGAGAAGTCTCTCGGCCAAGGACGTGGCTTAAATAATTACTTACGTCTTCCTTCGCGAGAAGTCTTTCGGTTACGGATTTAACAGAATTACCCAAAAATTGCGAGAATTTAAATTTCATTCAAAAGGCCCTAATAGGCCTAGAAGTACATGCAAGGGGGGGGGGCTATCGGCCCAGCATTACAAAATAAAAATTTCAAGACACGACCTCAGGCTCTCCCTGGTTCGCATCATCCTCGGCAGCGGGCTCCTCGTAAGCCGTTTCCTCCTCATTCGGCCTGGCGGGCCGCTCTGGGGCCTCAGCATCGGCCTCTTGATCCGGCGGAATCGAGCTTAAGTCCACCAACTTCCCCTGAAAGAAGTCCTTCGTCATATCCAGTTGAAAGTCAGGGGGGAAGTCACCAAAGTAGCTAGCTTGCCGAGCAGCTTGGGCAAAGCCAGCCTCATGCTGGGACAGGAGCTTGTCGCGAGCCTTTTCCCTGAAGGAACCAAAAGATATTTTCTCGGCCTCCAGTTCCTTCTCGAGCAGGGTAGCCTTCTCAGTTTCATTCTTCAAAGACGTCTCCAAGCGCTGGACCTTTAAGGTGAGATCGTCAACCATACGCCCTCGGCGGTCAACCTCGGCCTGGAACTTGCCGTTAGACGTCTGAGCATCGGTCAACGCCGTCAGCGTCTCTCGCAGCGACTTCTCCTGCTCAGCTAGTTGACGGCGAAGCCCATCAGCCTCCCCATTCGGTTCCATGACGATGCTTTGAGCCAAAGCCACAGCCCGAACTTGGAACTCACAGAAGAAGTTCCACTTCTGCGCCGAACTCATCCGGCCCAGAACTGCCTGCCCAGCCTCAGAAGTCAAGTCTTGGCTTAGGAAATCCTGCGCGTTCACATTACTGGCCAAGAAGTTTGGTCCAACCAAGCTCTCCGGGGCATTGGGATTGGCTAGCCGCTGCTGCTTGGCTTGGCGGCTCTCCTCCACAGCCCTCCCTTCAGTAGGTTTTCTTTTTTCGGGCTGCCGAGAGGAACCCTTGCCCCCTTTCTTGGGATTGGTGGGTTGCCCCGCTCCGCCCTGTCGTGGAGCCGGTTGATTCCCACCTGCACGCGTCTCGGTCGGGGTCTTGTTTCCTGTGACCCCTGCCACTCGGCTCCCGATCAGATTGCGGATGTTCAAGTCATGGTCAAAGTTCGCCATAATACCTGCACATCATTAGTCAAAATCAATGGTAACGCAGGAATTTAAACAAACAAGAGTTACTATACCGATTAGTTCCTCGGTGACGTTGGCCGATTCGAATAATCGGACCAGGGGACGACACGGTAATGGCCGTGGCAATTTCTCCAAAATATCCAAGCTCTGCCTTTCCTCCGGCGACATTCGGGATTTCGATACGGTATCGTACTTTCTCGGCCTTCGGGTCCAATACAGGGGAAAGACCGAGTTCCCCTCATCGTCAAAAAAGTATTTATTCCCCGTCTCGGGTCGAATCATCACCTTTATAAAACCCACTTTAAATTTTTTGTAAGAAGTGGTGAATGGCTGAAGCAAGCAATCACTGTGTCGAATCAATGACAACCACTTCGCCTTCTTCGTCGGCCGAGAGGAGTAGTAATATAAAAATAAATGTGGAGTAGGTTGGAGGCCAAGAGCTAAGCACAACCGTCTAAATCCTTGCATTGCTGCCCAGGTGTTGGGATGGACCTGAGAAGGCGCCACGTTCAGAAGACGAAGTATACCCGAGAAATAATTATCAAAGGGGAGGGATATCTTCAAATCCCGAAACATATAGTCATACACATAAAAGAACGGGTATTTGGACGACCCCTGGTCTAGATAAACAAAATCCGGATTAGGAACCCCATCACCTCGGCATGGCTGGAAAAAGATAGCAGACGGCTCCTCGTCTTCGGGAAAGTTTAAAAATTTCATTGCCGATACGAAGTTAACAAGTGATTTCTTGGTCGTATACCGGGAGTACACACTACCAACTTCCCCGTGTACCCATGAAAATCCAGGCGTCGATACGGGAGGAAAGCTTCTTGATGAACCCCCACCCCCACTTGGACGGTCATCAGAACCTATAGCCGAGGCGGAACCACTTCCACTAACGCTCTGGGCCTGCTCAGATCCAGAAAAGGACTCGGTGCGATCTCCATTAGAGGCCGAAGCTGAGGCAGCGTCCCGGACCGGAGATATTCTCCGTCTCGATTCCCCTTCGTCACCGGAGGAGTCGACATGAACAATATTTAAATTTGCCATTACGTACCTGAATGCTAAACTTCAGATCTTCCTTCGACGAACACTCGAATGCTGATTTACTAATTCGGATCCGGAGATAATGATTGTGCGCGTATGTGGAGCCCCCTCTTCATGCCTATTTATAGACCCTGCATGTTACACATTCAAACGTCGCAGCCTTGGGAAACCGTTGGATCAATTTAATCCAACGATCCTCAATACGCAACCCCTCGTATGCTCCACCTAAGCCCAACTGACACAACCTTTGGCGTTCCACACTTAATGCGAACCCTAGCATGCGCCATTCCACGCACAATGATGGCAACCCTTGACATCCCATCAGCAGTTGTAACCCCTCACGCGTAATTAATGTCTGTCAGTTATGCACCAGAGAAATTAATGCTTGTCAGCTACGCATCAGAGAGGCACTTTAATCATAACCCCTCACATTCCTGAATCTTTCATCGTATCCCAATCGGAACAATTAACCCTTTGCGTCGCTTCCCTCCTCAAGGCTGGGGGGCTTGTGTACCGGAAGGTCCCTATCGGTCACGTTGACCAACACGTGCCGTTCTGTCAGACACCTACGCCATGATGTCGGAAACATCGGTCCAGCCAACGTCCGGGACGAATGTTACTAACGGCTCGGCATAAGACCGAGCCGGAGAGTCCCCCGTAGGGCAGGATAGTTAGACAACTGTTGATCAACCCGATTAATAATAGCGCCCCATCCTTTACCTATCGGATCGGCGAAATACCGTACCGATAGGTGAAGGACGGCTATTAATTATGATTAGCAGGTAAGCGCATGGTTAAGTTAGTAAGTAAGTAATTAACATCGTATTACCTAATTTAGTAAACACCTGAAAAAGCCCACAATGCTCAGGCCCACGTCAGGCACTATAAATAGGTCACACATAACGAGGTATGTCACTGTTCATTTTTTACCCTAGATATTCGTGCATATACTGACTTGAGCGTTGGAGTACCCTTTGCAGGTACCTCCCCCATCCCTTGGAGATATCGTTGGAGCTCTTATTCGGTCCCCTCTCACCCAGAAGAAAAGGAGTGTGTCCTTAGACAGGTACATATTTATATAATAACTATGAATGCACTTTGTCTGATTTCACGTTTATTTTATTTTTATCATTTTCTTTACTGCTTAGAATTAACATATATATATATATGATATATATATATATATATATATATATATATATATTTCTTCTGCGGTGGTGGTACGATAGTTAATCAAGTCATTTTACTCCTATTAATTAGGACAAGAGATTCACTTGATTTTTCTCATGTTTTATATAAATACAGAACAAAATAAATAAGTACATATTTACATGATAAATTAACATGTGTATGGTGATAATTAAAACTTTTAAATATAATAATATTATCATTATTAGGTAGTGATAGTATCTTGTATCACTACAAGAAAAATGTTGATTTCCGAAGGAAATTTCCGATGGAAATTGCTAAATTTTTGACGAATTTTTCTTTTTCTGACGGATTTTCGACGGATTTCAATCCGTCAGAAAAAGTGGCATCAGAAAAACAAATTTGTCGAAAATAATTTTTTTCGATGAAAATTTTTGACGGATTTTTCCGTCGGAAAATATCCATCGGAAATTCTGTCGGAAAAATCGACAGAAAAATTTGTTGGAAATTTCTGATCTTCCGACGGAAATTTCCGTCAAAAATTATAATTTTTTTTAATTTTAATAAATTTATTAATGTAACAAGCCTCATATTTGGTCTCTCAAGGGTTCTATTTCACAATATTTCACTGTTTAGCGTGTTTTATCCTTACTTGTGCAATTTCTGGGAAACTTTCCAGGAGGTCACCCATCCCAGTACTACTCCAGGTCAAGCACGCTTAACTCTGAAGTTCTGATGAGTAGGCTACCGAAATGTATATGTATGTTGTCAGTATAATTTATACAAATTAATTCATTTAAGTCATCCTTAAATATACAATTTCATATTTGTACTATAATAATAATATATAATAATTTTATATTACAAATAATAATAATAATAATAATATATTTATTTATTCTTTATTTATATGTATTTACTTTTATAATTAACATCTACTTATTTCTATTTAAAATTATAATTTAAATTATTTAATTTTATAATTTATAATGATAATATAATTTATAAAATTATAAATATTTATTTAT